CCAACATATTCGTAATTGTTTAGGCCCGTATCTTACATGGGAGTGTCTGCTTGTCAGTATAGCACCTTGCTGAGCATCCCCCAAGACAATCCTTCATGGCCAGCGCAAGCGCATTTCTTTTGCAGAAGCTGGAGCTGCAGTTAGTTAGGGTACGGGTCCTCAAGTAAAAGCCATAAACCTGAGGGACACCTGGGCTCTAAGCGCTGAAGCCTGAGCCTTAAACTCACTGCATGTAGAATTCTATCCGAAACCCTCACACTACCTGCCGAGCCTCTTTCGATGACACCCGTGGCTTCTGCCCGGTGTAATGAAACACGGTGAAGGTGCCGTTCTCATAGAGGTCATACCTATGAAGGCTCGGCAAATAGGACGTGTCACGCGTGGGCTTGCCGATAAAAACTACCTTACTGGAGCTTAGTGGGAATAAAGGAACACATTATAATACAGGGGTTACATACCTTATTCCCTACCAACCCCCAGTAAGTTACAGGTACAGTGGCAACTAGGACCGTGCTCAGAGTCGGGTGAAGATGGAGCCTGAGCACTGACCACCAAACTCAGGTTCCCTTGAGGCAACTGAGCTGCTCTTAAAGAACTTAGGTTACCAAAGTGGGTATATTATCTCCAAATGGAAGCTGGAGGAATATATGGATTCAAAGCACTTAATTTAAGCTACCATAAGATGGGCATATGGTAAAAAATGGGGTTTCCTCATTACAGTTACGTATTTCAAGTTCCTTAACAGCAGCCCAAAAAAGACTCCGTGCTCTCCCACAACCGGGGAAGACTGCTCACGTGCGAAAAGCTTCCCCAAAAGAGGCGAACTACAAATGGGCGGTTTCTAGAACGAAGCAAACGATCGCAGCACCGGGCCCAAGCTTCTGGTTTCAATTTCTGGGTTTGGGGTTTCGGGTTTAGGGAACTACTCTCATGTCAGTTTTCATGTGGAACTCTGATTCAGGGGAACTCGCGCGTAGTACCCCTACAGGCCATTACCACAACAACAAAACACGTAATCACCATATAGCTCTAGAAACCCATATGGTAACAATAGAAAAGGAAATGGAAACTATTATATATTGGGGTTTTTTCGGGATAATCCCCATTATTAACCTACTTACTAAGTCCTCCTGACCCTCCAAGTAGGGCTCAGGGTTCGATGGTTTCAAGATTTCTGGGACATAGGGGGTCAATCACGTAAGGCTCAATAGACTGACCTGCCACCTAAAGCTCCTAAGGCCGGGCCTGGCATATTACTATTACCTTACTGGGTTATATAGGGGACCACTATACGGGATATATATAGGGATGATGGAAAAGAAAATGATAGTTTTAGGGCATGTGGCTTGCAAGGCGACTCCACGCCCAAACCCTGAAACCGTACGCCTTTCACCATCCAGCGTGTAGATGTGGGGATCACCGAAGATTTTGCCCTGAGGCAAGCCTCACATCAGGACACCACGAGATTTAGGGTTTGGGGCTCAGGATTTGCGTTATCAAGCGGCTGTAGACTGTAGATGTGTTCTGAGCGTGTTGAATGGGTCTGTAGAGGGACTAATTCAAAATTGCGGAAAGGTGACCTGATTGTGTCAGTGGGTTATGCGGAGTGTGTAGCGGGGTCGCAGAGAGTTGCGATTGCATAGCACTGCAAAGGTCATGTCTTCTTGTTTGTTTGATATGCAGACTCCCCCCCTGATGGTATCTGACTCGCGTGCTTCTCTGCTTCAAGCTTTCTTTTGCAGGCCCGCTGTACAATGCAAGGTCGTACTCTTTGACCTTTTCTTAACATTTATCTCATTCCGAAGGCTTTCTGGTGCTGTTATTCGTCAATAAAACTATGCAGAGATTGTTTCTAGAATCTGGGGTCATCTGAGTGATCAGTTCAAGTGGCACAACACTCAAGAGCTTCAGAACTACCCACATGTCTGCGACTTCACAACCCACATCGAGTAAGAGTTATCTTGCCTACTAGAACCGTAGGAAATCAGACGTTTAATTGAAGAGCACACTCCGAGGGTCCAAGCACCCAAATAGGACCAGTAAGTATAGGGTTCCCTATCGGGATAATATCATATGAGCTATAGTCTAAACTCCTTAAAGGGGGGTTATATAGGGGATTATATAGGGGACTACTATAGGGGTTGTTAAGGGGGATACTAGGAGTTTAGACAATGGCTTATATAAGACTCTAGTTGTTATTGTTGCTGGTTGGATTTTTTGATCTCACAAGGACCGAGGTATGTAGCAACTCGCTTAGGTCCAGAGTATGTACTTTGTAGATACCTGGAACAGAAGGGAAGGGTATGGGCTCGTTCTACCTTTCCTTTGCAACTAAAGGTTTCTGGCAAGGGTTTAAGGTTCAGGGTTTGGGGGGTGTAGGGTTTAGGGTGTAGGACGATGAGAATTCCGGCTGGCTATCTGACGCTCGCACAGCACATGTAACAAAAGGAACTATGAGTCCCCAGGTCCTATACGGCCTGAAACTTCAGGCGACGTGCTTCAGATTGTAAACTCCTGAACCTTAATAAACCCTAAACCCTTGTGGGGAAGCCCTTGCAAAGAAACAACTGGGTTGCTGCTAGGGAACTTAGTTTAAGCTACTCTATCTGTAGAAAAACCATACTAAGTACTATACATACCCATTATGGTAACTTAATGTAAGTTCCTTAACAGCAACCGCACAAAGTGTACAACCTGCTCAGAAAGCCAAGGCTCAAAGAATGATTCTCTGGATAGCGCCCTGCTCCTTCTTTGACTGCTAGGTAGCAGGGGATATAGAGGAAGGGATCAAAACAGCAGTCCCAATACAATCCCTCCAAACAATCTTTGAAACTACTCCTTCATTCAGTGCCAGCCACTAATCAGTTATTGCTGGGATTTCGAAGTATAAGTAGACGCGCGCTGCTGCTCTGGAGGTTAGGCACGTTCTCTATTTGTATACCCTAACTATCCCATTATAGTAATCTCCATTTTTCCATTATCCCTAATATCCCCCTATATCCCTATATAACCCACGATAGTAGCTTCCAATTCATTTTCCATTATACCTACTATCACCCCTATGGGTGCCTAGCATTGTGGAGGATGCGCCTTTCTTTTGCAATGGAGTCGGGACGCGCTGTTTTTTTGCCTTTGGAAGAGTCGCGGAGGTGTGAAGCCTATTGGGTCATTCAGACGCGGAATTGTCGAGCTTGAGATGCAGAAATCACGTGGTAGTTTCCCTAAATTACTGTTCCCAAAATGGGGGAAATTTATATAGGGCCCCGTATTATAATGGGAACCCAAATATAGGACCCCGTATTATAGGGAATTTAGACCAATCCCCACGTGGTTGAGACAACTGGGCGCGAGGCAGCCCACGGTTTTTTTGTGGAAACTATCCAGACGGCTGAAGGGAAAAGACTTCCGGAAGGTCCTAAATCCAGTATTTAAGATTTTTCTTGCCCATCAATCTGTTAAGGCTTTTGAATGGGCACACTCAAGGACGATATCACAAGCATCTCAAAAAAGTGGATGAATTGGAGATCCTTGTTTGGGGAATTCATGTATCGATAGGAACTGCTGTCTTCATGGATTGATACAACGTTCCATCCATCTTTCACATCTCTTGGTTCCAGAAGATTATCGGAGATACTATTCTCCTTAGATTCAGTTTTCAAAAGAAACGCAATTTCAGTTTTACAGTAACACCCCAGGAACATGGAACAAATGTGATGTGCGTCGCTCACGTTTTTTTTACAGCTTTGATTTCTCAGCAATTGATGAATTGAGGATTGCACAGTCCTTCCAATTGCACAACGCCCAGATGAAGACATTACATAGAACAAGCTGAGTGCACGGACCCATGTCTTCTTGCCATGGCACCCAAACACCTCCAGAGGAAGAGTCCCGATCACCACCTAAAAAGCAGCTGCAAAAAGGCCTCAGTTCAGGCACTCACTCACGCGTCACGCGCTCCCTCGCCCGTTCGCCCGCTCGCCTGCAGGTTCTCCCACAGGCACACAAACGTGACACGCTCCGAAAAGGCTTCTACGATATCTGTCTACTGGAAACCCACGTCCTTGATGTATCAGGCAGAGAAATTTTGAATTTGGACACGTGTTGCATGAAGATCGAGCATGTCTGGTTGCATGCTTCAAACAAGAACTTGCTACTGGTGGGTCGCTGATGCATCCTCCTTTTGCAGTCAAGCATTGGGCATTCTTGCATTCTCAGACATGGGTCCCTGATGAAACTGGCAACTAGTTGCTCGCATGACGAGCTGTACTTCCTGTTCATTCGCTCAGTCGGAATCTGTTCTGCCAATTCACGTCTGCAATGTGCTTGCAGGTAAGAAGGCGAAGTTTGAGCTCATGTGATTGTGCAGCTGTGCATGATCTGCGGAAATTCTGGGCGCGTGATTCGTTCAAGTCTTTGGACAATTTTTCCCTAAGGGTCCAAGTACTACAATCATAAGGCTTTAGGGTACCTAATACCCCTAAACCCTAAGCCCTAAACCTCAAACCCTAAACCCTAAGCCCTAAACCTTAAACCCCAAGCCCTAAGCCCTAATTTTATTATTTGGGTACTCGGACCCTTAGGGTTTTATTCCCCAGTCATCCCCCGAATCGCTCCGCGTAGTGCCTCTACGTCCCGAGCTGAGCTCTGGCAGCTGTATAGTCCTACTTAAGTAGATAGAATATCGGGCTTAGGGTTTAAAACTAGGGTTTCGGGTTAAGGGTTAAGGGTTTAGGGTATAGTCCCCTTTAAGTAGATAGAATATGGGGTATGTGGGGATCTGATTATTATATACCCAAAGCCATATTCTATCTACTTAAGGGGCACTAGACATGTCTGCGCGTAAGCCATGAAACTCTGCATCCTCGTGGACTCTCCGCAGGTGATTTAGGGTTTAGGGTTTAGGGATTCACTTCTGATGTCAGGGATGTCCCTCAACCCTTCGCATAAACCCTTCCAATCCGAATCCTGAACCTCAAACCCACCAACGTACACCGAGGCTCTGGGTTGTCGTTGGGTCTCTTGGGATCCACGCCACCATTCAGCGTGATGACCAGCTTTTTCACCTTTCGTGCGTTGAAGCGCATGGTGTAACCTCAGCTACACGCTGAGCGTAGGGAGCTTAGTCCCTCCCCCTTCAATGACACTGCCAACCCTTGGGGATGTGATTGTTATGAGGGTTTCCCCATAATAAGGGGTACCTTTTTGGGAGTCCTCATAATAAGGGATTATAGCATTTTGGGGTCTAGCATTTTGGGGTCTGTAGATGGGGTCCCCCTATTTTGGGAAACTACTTTGCGGGTAGCTCCCTGTATCAGATGCTATTCGCCAGCATTTGTTGGGCGGCCGCGTGGTGAGGGCCTGGTTGGGGGGCCATGCACTTAGGAGCCCGTGATGGCAGCTACCTGAAACAAGGTCGGAATCTATCACGCCTGGGCTTCAATGTAATTCAACGATTCTAGGGCCGCCCCGTAACCATGCTCCCGCCTACCTCAGAACCCTCTTAAGCTTCCAAATCATGGCAAAGGAGCGCTTGTTGTTCATTTGCATTCCTGTCGGCGAGACCTTCTTAGGCACAATGGCTTTGCCCTTCTTGTCGAACGCCTCGCCGGTGGCGCCCTGAACCAAGTCCCACAGGTCAACGAGCTCCACATCTTGCAGCTTCTGGAATGTGAAGGTGACGACCGTGGGACCCTTATGACACTGCTGGGGAATGCCAGCTCTGGACCAGATCAGCATTTTCGGAGCATTGAAGTTGAATTTCTTGGGGTCAATCACCTGCAGTGGGCCGGTGCATCCTGCCGGACCCTTTGCGGCGATGGTGACTCCGTTGATTTTGTTGGGCGGGAATTTGTCGCCATGCTTGAAATCCTCAAAATCCAGCTCCGCAATCCCCTGCTTGCAGAATCTCCTTACTCCATGAGTCCTGAAGAAGAAAAACGGTCCTCTTCTGGTCTTGTCTTGTAATTATGTAAGGAAACGCGCTCCAAAAAGTAATCATCCCCTTAATATATTAAAACCACCCACCCCTGACATTGATCTTTCCATCGTGGAGTGCTACATTATATTGGGAATGTTTATTCTTGGGGGAAGGGCTTTAACAATAGCATCAGCAGGACTGAATACGACCCAGTATCGGCAAGAACGACGAGCGTTCAACATCAACAGCAAGCTCGGAGGTCGCGTTATGCTTGGCCTGCACAGAGATGGGGCTCCAAATCTACAAGCAATGCCTACATTGGGCCTATAAGTATTGCATACATTCGGCAATTTGGGGCCACCCGGATAGCAGGAGGAGCAAGGAGGAAGAACCAGAATAGTAGCATCAGCAACAGCAAAACTACTGGGAGTAGGAGTAAGCGGCTTGCCTGTAACATGCAAGAAGCATCTGGCTCAGCAAGCGCGGCCACGAAGCAGGCTGAAAGCAGCTTCCACATGGCGCACCAGAGAACGACGTGGGGCAGGCAGTTTCTTTGTGCCAAAAGGCTGCCCAGGAAAGCAGTATGAAACAAGCCCTTCAGGGACAGTCTCCCCGAGAATTATGAAGGACTCTGACTCAAGTCGTCCTACCATCAGCCTTGGCATCTGATGCGATCAATACAGTATCCTGACGCCTACCCTAATCCCCAAAGTATGTAGGATGTTGGCCTTTGTGGGCTAGTTCTAAGGTTTCTTGGGCCGCAGTTTAGGGTTTAGGGTGGAGGGTTCCTTGGGTCATTGGTTGACCTACTTTTGGGATCCAGGTACATGTCATGGGAGTTCTTTGTTGAGTGCTATATCGAGGCGCCTAAGTAATCATCATGGTTGCTCCTTTACATTCCTTGTGCCACTCTATACCTTACTGGGGCTGAGTAGGGAATAAGGGCATACGTATGTCTTCTAGGAATTATAAGGGCTAGCTAGATTTCCCTCATTGCCTACTAAGCACCAATAAGATACCACAACACACCCGAAGCCCTGTACTCCAAGCACACCGTGGTTGACGGAGTGAGAATCTTGGGAAAAATGATATTTAAAAGAATTCCTAAGGGGAGAGGAGGAGTGGAAAGAACTTGGGCAGGCTAGGAACCCTTGCTGGAAGCCTGCTTCCCATCAACACCTCACGCGAGTTTAGTGAGATATCGTGCTGAACGATTTGATTCGGGACCAATGTAAAGGCCGGAAGAGTGATCAGCACTGTTCCCTAACAATCCTCATATGGGTAATTCCCAAAATTAGAGTCCCACCTCATCGGTGCCGAAATTTAATCTGTAGTCAAAAAGGGCCCAGAACCCTGAGAATAACCAATATGAGTATAAAATTACAACTTAATTACTGGTTCTTAGCAGGGAATAAAGGAGGATTTTCCCCATATTATATATATATATATTCCCTAGCTCCCTACCCAGAACCAGTAAGATAAGGGGCTTAGTAGGGAACAAGAGAATATACAATCCCCCTTAAATAGATAGAATATGGCTTTGGGTGTTTTATAATATCCCCATATACCCCTTATTCTATTTACTTAAGGGCGACTATATTATAGGAATTCTACTCCCTTATTCCATACAAAGCACCAGGAAGATGACTTCGGAATGAGAGTTTAGCATTTGGGGATTGGGCTCAGGGCATTGGGCTTGGAGATCAGAGCTCTGATGGTTTTTGTAGCGTTCTGAAAGAACCCTAAACCCTGAAACCTAAACACTAAAACCTAAACCCTAAACCCTGTATCTATACTTCCCGAAAGTGTCCCTTAATCAAGCTTTTAGGGCTCAAAATATCTCTGACTAAGGCTCTGCATAAGGACACTTCTGTTGATTTCTCAAAAATAAGCCGCCCTTGTGGGCCAGGGCAGGGTATGGAGAGTAAAGGGGGATTATGGGGGGGCACGAGACTATGACCTCCCTCATGCTAGAATATAGGAATATACGAAGGAGCCTGGTCTTTGAGAACTAGCCGCTTTCAGGGTTTAGGGCTCGTGCACGACAATCTGAAATCTATCCCATAACCACACCATATGCCATGCAAGGACCCTCAATCAACAAGACCTTCAAATACCCGCCGCTTCAATAGAAACAGCTTGCGCAAAAAAGAGTTACTCAAACATCTAGACCTCAATCTCTGCAGACCCTAAACCCCCTACCTCTGAAATCCGAGACCTTCAGCCCTGATGCTAAGCCGATGTGTAGGAGGCTTTCCAAAATGTGGGATCCCTTTTTGGGGATCCTTATAATAGGCATTAGAATACATGGGGGGGCATATTGGGGCCCCCCTATCTTATGAACCCCAAGATGTCTCTCCATATCCCTACAGCCGCCCAATGAAGCCCCCAAACCCTAAACCCTAAGCCCGGCATCTTAGTGAGTTGCAGAGACCCTCTGCGGACGCGAAGAAACTGCAGACGGCACCGTTCCGTCCCCGGCATTTGCCTGGCCAGTGAGTCAAAGCCAACAACCCTTTAGGTCCCTTTAAAGGGATTTAGGGTTCAGCGTTTAGCATTTAGGGTTTAGCGGTTTAGGGCTTAGGGATATGTAGGGAGATATAGGGGCATACAGGGATAGATAGGGTTTAGGGTTTAGGGTTTAGGGGTAAACCCTGACCCTACATCCCCCCAAACTCAAGCCCCATTAACTGATGGATTCCTGTACTGCCCCCAAGAAGGTTTCCCCTTGATTGGAACTCTTACTTTCTAAACACGAATCATGAGTTCCCTACCCCTCTATGCTACTTGGAGGGTCTGGGGGACGTAGTAAGTAGGCTAATAATTGGGATAAGTAGGGTTACTATATGGGTTAGAGGGGTTATTAACCTACTTACTAAGTTCTCCTGACCCTCCAAGTACTATGCTACTCCAGCTTGCCCCTTGATTGTTGTCGTTCAAGTCTCATTAAGGAAGCTAGGAAGGAAGCGCCTGACTTGGGAGCCAAAAGGACCCATTAACCTTCAAAGGGCTGCGCCCTAAACCAAAAACCCTAGAGTCTGAAGCGAGTGTAGGGCTTAGCTTCAGAAATACAAGCCCTGCTCTGAATACCAATGAACTACAACGTTGGGCAGCTGCTCCGCATTCTGAAGGCACACTAGCCCCTGATTTCGGGAAGTCCCTAAATACGAAATCCTAACCCCAGAGCCCTCAGCACCAAACCATATAAACCCTAAACCCT